TGTCTCTCGCCCTTGCCACGTGCGTCTGGTTGGCGTTGTTGTAGTCGCAAGTTGCTCTCCCTGGCTCTCTCCACTCCTCCCTTCCCCGTCCCAATATCTGTGAAAAGAGCTTCATAGCTCATCGGATTCCTCCAAAATAAATCAATATTTTGATTCCGAATCACCTTGGGCAGTCGAAGTCATGTCACTACAGCTGCCCACGATGCTCAATGCTCTGTCGTCTGATTTTCTGCCGAATTGGAAGGTGATGTTAATATTTGGTGCACCCCTATGAATAATAATGACAACAACAACAACAGATTTTCCCCTCGTATGATTAAACACGTCCAAGTTGTGAGCATGATAATCAATTTAAATCTATAATTCAATTCGTCCGAGAGGACATCAACCGATGAGATTGAGCGATGAAAAATCATTTATTGTGTTGGCGTTCGGCGGATTGTTACATCACAGATGGTTATGGCTGGGGGGGGAGCCTTCAATCCAGTGAATTGAACATGGCTGCTGACGATGATGATGATGATTCAACGCATCATTACATGCCAGCCGAGTGAGTACAAGCCGCGCCTCCGATTGTTACTGTTGGCTACGTACGGCGCAAAAGAAGTTCAACGTACATGCGCACAAACCTGCGAAATATTATTTTAAAAATTCCACGCGCGACATTTTTCGCGTGTCTCACGGTGCGCATGCAGCCCGAGTGTTGGCGGCTGCCGGGAAGTCGTTCCGCGTCGGTGAGTCCCGGGGCAACGGGCGCCGGCGAGCGGTGGGTGACCCGCGCCTCCCAGACTCTGACAGATGCAACGACCTCTGACCCGAGTCGAGCCTAAGTTCTGACTTCCAGTGTTACGTGCCGGCGGGCGATGCCACGGGATGGGATTGGGATACGATGCGATGGGATACGATGGGATATGACAGGCCAACTTCTTTCTTTCTATGTGGATACTGGTTTCCACCACGGATTTCTCGAGTGTAAATAAATATGCAGATCTGAATCACATTCTGATTCTTATTTTTCCCTTCATGCGGCCAATTTAGAAAGTACCCCCTCCCTCTACTCCCATCCATCCCAAGCAAACATTTTCACAAATATGGCTATGCAGTTAGATATAATCCTTCTCTTTTTTATTTTTCAGTCATGATTCGGGATTGTTATTTAAATAATGGATATTTTTTTTGCTATTTTTCGTATTACCTTTTTGTTTGTTTGTTATCCTTGTTCGTTCTGTTGGCACAATTTAATCACGCCCCCCCCACCCCCATTAACCGCAATATGACATTTACCATACGATTTACATATATGTACATGCAATTAGCATAGCGTGTAAATAAGTAATTCCCAGGGCTTAATTCCTCGCCGAGTATTGTCCGCGTCGCTTCTGCGTTCTCTTCTCTCGTACGGCTGCTGGAGATGGCAGAGCATCAACGACAATTTCACATTCAGGGGGTCAAGCCAGGCAATCGCATCAGGAGACATATAATATGTATACATAGCGGTCATTCATGCTGTTGGAAGTGGCCTCAGTCAAAGTGAGAGATGATACTGGATGCGGTGTGCCGGGTGTGAAAAATTAATTTTCTGGGTCGCCGACTCGGACGTTTAAGACCCGGCTGAAATGAAGTCGTGCGTGTGTCGTGTTACAATGGATGTGAAATTGTTACGTCGTCAGCCGTGCGATGTTGAATGTGGCTTTGTCGTTGTTGTTGTTATTCTTAGGTTTTTTTCGGTAAAGTCACGCAGGTAAAAAATTTAAATTAATAAAAGTAAAATGAAAATAAAATAAAATTACCACGTTTCGGAGGCAACACAAGCTTCCGTCTTCAAGTGGAACCGTCACAGCACGATATTTTATTTTACTTTTATTAATTTTAATTTTTTACCTACGTGACTTTACCGAAAAAAACCTAAGAATACGAATCCTTGCAGTCACGAAAGCTTCAAATCTAGAGTTGTTGTTGTTAAGAGATGGACAGCGATGCATTCTCGACGCGGACCCCATCGTCATGCGCCGACCAAGGGGATGCATGTGATTGTGGGATCGCGTGAAACCTACAAACCGCTTCGGTGGCACAACGAGGGGAGTGCGATAGGAGCGGCGCTCTCTCTCTCTCCCTCTCTCTCAAGGCCCACTTTTAAATCCGTTCACTAACGTAGCATGAAATCAATTGCAGCTTCATTTAATACTGGGATGGAGGCCATACTCTTTGTTTCTTTCACGCAGGTACCTACGTGACGTCATAGAACGAACCAAAGAGTATGGATTGCTGCAGTCACGAAAGCTTCAAATCAAGATTTGGATGGAGGCCGTTGAGAATTAACAAAAAAATATTTTCGCATGAGGGACGTGACTAAGATTGCTTAACAGTGACGGAAATGGCGGTTTCAGAGCGAGGAACGTATGTCCGAGACACCTCCCCACCCCGCGCGCCCCCTCCCACCCTGGAGCTTTCATTGACACATTGTTCACGAAGTTGATTACTCGACAATTTAAAGCGGTGCCAAGAACGCCGGAGGAAAAGAGAGCCGCGCTTCTCGACTAACGAGACCGCCGCCGCCGCCGCTGCTGCTGCCAGCCACCGCCGCCGCTGCAGGGAGGATTCGAGATGGGCGCGAGGGGTTTTTCCGCCCCTCCAGCGACGCAGGGCTTTTAGTCACGGCTCATTTCAGAGGCGGTATCGCAACGTTGTCGTTAAAATTAGGAAGAATCCGAAGGGGGTGGGTGGTAAGGGTGGGGTGGGTGGGTTTCAAGGGCACAGAGGCACAGTGAGAGGCGCAGTAGCAGCAGTAGCAGCAGCAGCAACGCGAGTGCAGTTTTCCACGAAGCTTTAATATTTTATTTGCGCTCTCTCGTCCCTGCGAAACGCAGCGAGATTTACAATGCTGCTTGGCGCTTCGCATTTTGACCCCCCCCCTCCAACACCTCTCCCCCCCCCCCCCCGTAGCTTGGAGGTGCAAATTGCCCCGCTGATTGAGGAATATCCCAGAGGACACAGCGGGGTTGTTCCTACTTGCTGTGCTGCACCTCCCCCCCCCCCCCCCCGGGGCAGATTTTGACTGTTTCACATGAACTACGGGGCGGGGACCGGGGGGTGTGATTGTATCGAGGAGACGGAGTTGAAGAGTTGAAGTTGGCTTCATGTGCGGCTGAAGTGTTGCCTTGGAAGGACCGCGAGAGATGACGAGATGAAGGCTGCTTGGGAAGGGCCGTCATCCAGCAGTGAATTGATCATGGCTCATGATGATGATTGTCATAATCGACAACTTTATTTTGATGATGATGATGATTATCATCATCTCCATTTACTGAGGCATAGCATGTGGACCGATCATGACTGTAATTCCGATAGAAATAATTTGTCATTTGTCCACCCTTCTTGAAATGCTCAGAGTCCGACGTTTATGAACAAAACGACTGTTTTCATCCGCGTTCGGATTGCGATGGCGCATTTAGTTTCGTGTACGTGTCAAACCGCTAACGTATTCCCTCCAAGAAGCCTCAACTTTTGAACATGTTACGTAATTGCCTTTGATGTGTGGACAACCCGTTATAATGATGATTATTGTGGAGTTGACATTGAAACTTAGAAGTTTGGCTATTTATTTGTAACTATGCTGACGTTTACGAATGCTCTGGGCTGTGTACAGATCGGCATTGAACCGTCTGATCATCCCTCCCTCCGCCTCACTAATGTAGGGCACTTTTGAAATTTTGACAGATTGCTTCAGTTTATCGCTGATAATCTGAGCAATCCAATGTTGATCGGCTGAGACAAATACGCCTCATGGGCTTTTAAAGACCTGTCTGTGTGTCTGTGTGCACGTGTGATGTGGGGAGCAGTGGTGCTGCGGTTAGCACTACTCTGCGCTACGAACCCAGCGGCCTGAGTACGAATCCCGCTCACGGCCAACACCAGTGACGATTATCTGAACCGGTCCTGGGCCTCCCCTAGGTCGACTCAGCCTCAAATGAGTACCTGGTGTGGTGTGTAAAATCATTGCCACTGGAGAGACAAAGGCGGTCGGGCGTTGTGCTGGCCAGTCTTCATAGGTGCTCGCTAACATCGCTTAGGGGCCGTCCATAAATGACGTCACGCACCTGGGGGGGGGGGGTCAGACATTTGTGACGATGTGTGACGAGGGGCAGGGGGGTTGAGAAATGTGACGTCACATCAAAATGTGCAACTTAAAATAAATATAGACAACATATTCTACTTAATTAAATATACATTTTAATAAATGTTTCCTCATACAACATCAGAGTACAGCGCCACATTAAATATGCACCACAATGACAATAGTTTCAAGCGATTTGAAGCATGTTTTATATTTTTTTTTTGGGGGGGGGGGGGGGCGGATCTTTGTGACGTCATATTTAACGGGGGGTCTGACTCTTTGTGACGCCGTGTGACGAAGGGGGGGTGGGGGTCAAAAATCGTCCAAAATCGCGTGACGCCCCTTACCCCAACAGACTGTTAATGCTATACGAGGGATCTTTGTCTATTTTTGGGAAGTTGTGTTAGCTTGCTGCATCATCATCATCTCCGGTGACCCATGTTCGATTGTGTGATAATGATGATGATAATTACAATAGTAATAATGCCCTTCATTGACCTCGGAAAGCCCATCTGGATCCCAAGTTTCTTTTTTCAGGAGGGCCCTGCCAGATTGGGATGCCACATATGAGAAAATCGTAACACCCACACAACAAAACAACCCCACACACGCGAGAGAGGAAACGTTCAGAAGCTCCTTACAGGCGGATCGAGAATCCACTGCTTGTTCTGCCAACTCCTGACCACCATGCAATCTAGGTCACACGCAAACAACGGTGCCAACATGGAATGTCTGTACCTGTCATGGACCATCCCGTTGGTCAACTCAGCCTTTAATGAGTACTTGGTGCGGTGTGTGTACAAAAAACGACGACATAAGTTTGTCTAAGGCTATATGGAAATCTTTCTCTTTTTGCCCATGTTATTCTGCTATTCTCTCCCTGCAGGAGGCGTTGCTGCGTCTGGGCGGGGTGGTGGATGAACGTTCTCTGCGGAGTGCGGTTGTCGAGATCGTCCGTCTCGTGATTCCACACACGGTGAGAGGGGGCGACGGAGATGAAGGGAGAGATGGCACTCCTTAACAAAGATCCACCGTGTAGCCTTAACAGACTGTAGGGGCGAGTGCTGTTAGCGAGCACCTATGAAGGCCGATACGGCACACGAGGGAGTGGCTGGCCAGCACCACGCCCGGTGGCCTTTGTCTCCCCAGTGGCGACGTTTATACACCGCACCAGGTACTCATTTGAGGCTGAATCGACCTAGGGGAGGCCCCAGACCGGTCCAGATAATCATCACTGGGTGTTGTCCGTGAGCGGGAATCGAACTCGGGTAGCCGGGTTCGTAGCGCAGTGCACTAACCACTACACTACCTGCTCCCCGCTAACACACACACACACGTACACACGCACACGAGAACCACCCCCTCCCTTCCCTCCAGAGATAAATTAAATCAGACATCGTACAAACATCCTTCATTCAAATCTAACACAGTTTCTGTAAATGAGGCCCATTCCTTCGGGGCGCGCGGTCACATGGCGCGTGACCTCTTTCACGAGCGTCTCGGTGCGCGATGCCCCCAACAGCCTCCTCTGTTGGCGTGACGTTCTGAACCGCCTCGACTCGACTTCTCTGATAAAGGGAATGTTACAGCTCATCGGATTCCTCCAGTCGTGAATAAACACAGGGTGCTTCAACAAGATGGACCCGATTTGAAATCGCTATATCTCTGCAACCACGAACCGCCCATGAATGAAACTCTTACCACTTGAAAGGGCGGGGCATAGAGAGGGCGGGGCATAGAGAGGGCGGGGCATAGAGAGGGCGGGGCATAGAGAGGGCGGGGCATAGAGTTTCAAATGATTACCTCGAGATGCCTCTCCCAGCGTACAAACAGCCCCTAGCCTCAGTCATTCGCAAGACACACTGCCTCAACGTTGGATAGGTCGCACGGGAACCCAAGACTTGGCACTACACTTTTTTTCTCCCAAGATCCGCAGACATCACACCCTGCGACTTTTTCTTGTGGGGATACGTCAAAAACCGTGTTTTTGTTCCACCATTAGCGACTAATCTGGATGACCTCAAGAACAGAATCACCGCAGCGGTGACTTCAGTGGAAGAAGACGACACTTTGAGAGGCGTTGGGGACGAAATCAACTATCGTCTCGATTCTAGATTTGAAGCTTTCGTGACTGCAAGAATTCATATTCTTAGGTTTTTTCGGTAAAGTTACGCAGGTAAAACATTAAAAATTAATACAGCTGTCGTGGCTGTGACGGTTCCACCTGAAGACGGAAGCTTGTGTTGCCTCCGAAACGTCGTGATTTTTATTTTTTATTTTATTTTACTTTAATTAATTTTAATGTTTTACCTACGTGACTTTACCGAAAAAACCTAAGAATATCGTCTCGATGTTGTCCGTACAGCAGGTGGAGGGGGCACATAGAGCATTTATAAAATGGTTAGTAAAACTTGATAACTCATTAAACCGTTTGTAACTTTGTGTGTAATTGTAACATGTTGCCATCGTGAAATATACTGCTTTTAAATTGGGTCCATCTTTTTAAAACGCCCTGTAATTCTGATTCTGGCAAAGTCTTTCCGAGCGTCGCTGTCGCGCACGGCGGAGAGTTTAGCCGCAACGCGAGAGCCGGACGCTCTCTGGGTCTCCTTGCCAATACGCATTGATTTTTTTTTTCATCACGCGAAACATATCAGGGTTAAACTTGTATTGACTATCATTTATTGATTTCGTATATCCGACTCGGTGGCTCTGTGGTAGAGCGGGCGGCTTGCGATTGCAAGGTTGAGAGTTCAAATCTTGGTTTGGTGCTTCACTCAGCCTATCATCCCCGGTGGGGTCAATACAACAAGTATCGCTTTGTGGGGAAATCAAACGAGGTTGTCCTATAGAGACACTGGCCCCTGCCACAGAACTGATAAATGTACAGCACTGGCTCAGGTCTGTAAATGGGAGATTTGCCATCACCCCATTGCTCAATTTAGCCCAGAAGTCAATTAATACTCTTTTATTTACTATAACATATTTTCCAGAAACTAATAGAATTGTTGTTTAATCTATGACGACAACATTGACGACCTATACTGTCCACGTGACTTCATCTCTCGTCGTCCGATTTGGGAGTGGAGCGTCCGATGAACCGCAGCGAGCCGTTTAATTCTGGTAGTGAAGTTGAACTCTCACAGAGGCCGCCAGGGGCTTTCTCATTTACCTTCTGCTTGTCAAAGGTCATGGAGGATAACCCCTATTAAGGAGCTAGTTTTAGCACAATGATTACCTCATTTAGATTCTAGAAAATGCTCAGCTCCCCACCCCTCGCTACAAGGAATCTGCGATCGCAGCTGCATTCAAGTTGCGTACAGCTTGGCACACGAGATGAACGAAGGAATTAATTGAATGTCATGTCCATGTGCCAGAGCATTGTAAGCGAGAACATGAATACACCGCTACACTTCAGCTGGCCTTGTGCGCGCGTGTGTGTGCGTGTGTGCACCCCGCTGTGATCATCTTCTGTGCCATCCCTGCACGAACACTCGCAAGGCTCCAACGTAGTCCTGCCGCCGGGGGGGCGGGGGGGGTGCGGACGCTGCAAACGTTGCTGTGTATTGCAGGAATATTTCCAGAGAGCTTTGCGGTTAAAACATTTCTGCAGGTTACTTTGTCTGCGAGTTATTTAATTAACCATAAAGCTCACTTGCTTGGGAGTTTGGAATTCCATGGGGGGTTATTGAGGTCAAATCGCTTCACTGTAAATAAAGAAAATACACATTTTCGGAGGCGATTTTTCCCACTGCACAGTTTTGTCAGAACAATTGCGGACAAACTTGATTTGAAGCTTTCGTGACTGCAGGGATTACTCTTTGGTTTTTTCGGTAAAGTCACGTCGAAAAAAAATAAGTAAAAAAATATAATACGATGTTTCGATTTAAACACAAGCAATCGTCAATAGGTAGAACTACATTTTAGAGAAAGACAAAACACAGACACGGAGACACACAGACAGGCACACAAGCAGAGAGAGACAGTATGTCTATGTTGTCTCTCTGTGTGTCTCTGTGTTGTCTCTCTCTGCTTGTGTGTCTGCTTGTGTGTCTCCGTGTCTTTGTTTTGTCTCTCTCTCAAATGTAGTTCTACCTGATGACGATTGCTTGTGTTGCAATCGAAACGTCTTATTCTATTATTTAACTCGTTTTCTTTCTAAGTTACTTTACCGAAAGAACCAATGAGTAATTGCAGACAATTTGTCAGCCAATCAAAAACTCATGCTGCTGCCCACGAAGGCATTGTCCATTATTAAATAATCATAAATGGGCAGCCGTTTGAACTGTGCGGTTCAAATGTTGGCAACGTCTTCCGTCAGTGGTCACGTTTTTTTGTGTTTGTTTTAAGCGTGAGTGAACTTGAACAGCTCGTAAGAGGAGCATTTGAAGTTTCGAGATGCTGGTGAACACCCGGGCATCTCCCAAAATCATCTCCAATGCGATGCGCGTCGCCAACGTGGGCGTGCGAAGTTTAAGAGGGCTGAGACCCGCCCAATGGTATCTACCCGCCACCCTGTCTGCATGCTCCTGGATAGTTCTGTGGTGCTGGCCACCCACCCCATCGTGTGCCGTGCCGGCCTTCATAGGTGCTAAATAACAGTCTGTGAAGGCTTTACGGGGCGACCTTTGCTTTGCGACCTGAGTTCGATTCCCGCTCATGGCAAACACGAGTGACGAAAATCTGAACCGATCCTGGGCCTTTCCTAGGTCGTCCTAGCCTCAAATGAGTACCTGGTGCGGTGTGTAAACATTGCCACTAGAGAGACAAAGGCGGTCGGGCGTGGTGCTGGCCACCCACCCCCTCGTGTGCCGTGTCAGCATTCATAGGTGCTCGCTAAAAGCACTTGCCCCTATAGTCTGTTAAGGCTATGGGGGAAGGGGGATTTTTGTCTTGTCTTTTGTATAGTTACTTTGGCATGCGTAATTATAAATCGTTGATTATCGATGAGTCATCTATGGATGTCTTGTGTTCCCCATGGGCTCGCGTTTGACTTTAAATAAAATATGAAACCTATGGCTCACAGCGACCTGTCAACAGGTGCTCCTAATCCCCAGTGATGTGATATCTACAGAAATGATCAGATGCACGTTTAAATGAAATGGCTGAAACGTATTGTGTTGCCTTTGTCATTTGCCCAATTCTCATTTTCTTTGTGGCATAGTTATCGATATGTTTCCACCAAAAATCAGACCGCAAAAAACCTTGGCCAAAAAGGACCCCACTGCCTATCTCTCTCTGTGTCTGTCTCCCTGTCTCTGTCTCCCTGTCTGTCTCTGTGTCTCCCTGTCTTTCTGTCTCTAACTGCCCCTCTTTCTCTCTGTCTGTCTGTAGTCTCCTTGTTTCTCGATATCGCTGCCTCTCCGTCTGCCTGACCCCTCAGCCCCTATTTTCCTACTGCCCATCTCTCTCTCTCTCTCCATGTCTTTCAATTCTGTCTGTGTCAGCATGGGCTGTCTCTTTTGGTCAATCTGGACCACATTTTTTTCACGCTTATAATTAAACAGTGTTGCGTGTTTTTCATGGCCACGCACGAGCACACAAACGCGCGCGCGCGGAGTTCAAAAACACAACGACGAACGTTGTTCGGGCCACTTCAATGCCACGGCGACTGGTCTCGGCGTGTAAGCGTGCGTGCTGCTGTGCACATTCGCGCGCGTGAATCGCAAAGATCAAAATTCACTCCATCACGACGGGCTGGAGGCGGCAACCAAAGACATCTCGCGGATGGAACAATGGACGCGAATGCACCATCACCCCCCCCCCCACACACACACACAGTGCACCCTTTTATCTATATTAGAATCCGAGTCGTCTTTGTGATAGGAATTGGTTGGCGCAAATCAAATATTTGCGACGTGAAAAGCCTCGTAATCTTGAGTTATTTATCATCTTTGCCGAGTATTTTTTATTTATTTATTCTTTTTTTCCATATCACTACAATGCCGGTATCATTTCTGTTGCTACCGAACACTATTCCCCCACCACAGCACAATGGGACATCCTTTGTGTTTAATAATTGGTTTAACCGAGGATTGACTCGGCTCATTAAGTTCTTTGAAGTCTCAGTGAGGTGGCTGGGTTGCTCTGAAGTCAGCGCACCGAGCCAGCTCTGCTGAAATTCTGGGTTTGATTCCAGCCGGGTTTCGGCCACTACAGATGTTTTAAAGCAGGTTCTCAATTGGATTGCGCTGATGGTCTCAGTCCGGTCACCAATGGCTGCACACACACACAAAAAAAATCACAATGTTAATTCATACTCTTTGGCTCTTTTGGTAAAGTCACGTAGGTAGAAAAATAATAGATCACGACGTTTCGATCGCAACACAAGCAACCGTCATCAGGTGGGACAACCACAGCAAGAACAAAACTGCTGAAGTAGGCGAGAGATCTGCCGTGGCACGAGGTTATAAAGGCCTCGGCAGTAGGGGGGGGGGAGAAGGGGAGGGGGGGTGAAGGAGTCTGGGCAGAAAGTGGATCCCGCAGCAGCACCCGTGCCTCTGGAGTAAGTGGACCACCGCGGCAGCACTGGAGAAATCGGCTGCAGGCGAGGAGAGAGAAGGGGGGGGGGGGGAAACGTCGTGATCTATTATTTTTCTACCCACGTGACTTTACCGAATGAACCAAAGAATATGGATTTCTGCGGTCACAAAAGCTTCAAATCAAGAATGTTAATTTCACTATGAGACCTCTTTTACCAGTGGCAAAAATATAGTAATAGGTTTTGACCCTTTCAATTGGTACAAAAACTGACACCTTTATACAAGGCATCATGTTTGCAATAACCACAACACAAGCAGTCAAAATGCAAACTAAAAGAAACAACTCTGACAGTGCATATCATCATCATCAGAGTTTCATCTTCTTGGTTCTTTCGGTAAAGTCACGTAGAAGGGAAGTAATAAAATAATAAAAATAAAACATAATAAAACAATTCTCACGACGTTTCGGCCACAACGCAAGCAGCCGTCCTCAGGTGAAAACCAGGTCCGTCGAGGCGACAGAGTCTGAATGAAACAGCACACGAGCTTGGAGCATATATATAAGCTGCATAATGCACATGCATATGCAGTACTAATCACATTCCTGCATTTCCCATAAATATGCTAAATTCCTTTTGATATGCAAATTCCTTTGTCAATGCGCCCAGCTTATATATATGCTCCAAGCTCGTGTGCTGTTTCATTCAGACTCTGTCGCCTCGACGGACCTGGTTTTCACCTGAGGACGGCTGCTTGCGTTGTGGCCGAAACGTCGTGAGAATTGTTTTATTATGTTTTATTTTTATTATTTTATTACTTCCCTTCTACGTGACTTTACCGAAAGAACCAAGAAGATGAATCCCTGCAGTCACGAAAGCTTTAAATCGAAAAATCATCAGAGTTGTTTCTTTTTGTTTGCATTTTGACTGCTTGTGTTGTGGTTATTGCAAACATGATCCCTTGTATAAATGTGTCAGTTTTTGTGCCAGTTGAAAGGGTAAAACCCTATTACTAATATTAATTTAGTTTATTTTTACTTAATTTGACCACATTCTAGCTCTGAGATCCACATGTTGGGGTTCTATTGACACGTCTAAATGAAGGTGACAAAAACACTCTTTGCAGGGCATATAACAGGCGTGCTTTTCCCTTCATCAAAGGTGGCCATTTGCAGCGAATTCGTGATGTCAATGTTTACAGGGTCGTTCGATGCACTGCTAGCTTCGGGGTTTGTGAACGTAATCATTGTCGGCGAGAGAGGGCGAGCAAATAGTCATGGCAATACGATAAATCTCGAGTGCAGAGCGACGGAAAACGAGTGAAAATAAAAGTTGAAGTCACAGCATCGACGAACCCCGGTGAACCCTCCTCGTTTCATCATACGTTTCTTTTTTTGTGTCATCACGCGAGCTTAGCTTCAAACGCAAATGCCAATAATTACAGCATGTCGCACGGACTTTAATCGAAGCGCCTCCTCTGATACACGACGATGATTCCGACTTCAAAGCGAGAATGGTAAACGTCTGCAAAGACGTACAACACACAAGGTGTATACCATTTATATCTACGCGGAATTCGTAAGCATGTGCGTGCGTGTGCCTTTACATGTCATTTGTATGTAATATGGGGAGTGGTAGTGTAGTGGTTAGCACCTAGAGCTACAATTTGAAGCATTCACGGCCACAATTATAATTTTTTTACCGTAGATTTTCGGTACAGCCGTGTAGTATAAAAAGATAACTTAATTGTGGACTGAACTCCACCACCACCACTTATCCGAAAATTGACAATCGGTCACCGCGGGTCGAAAGTAATGGACGTGTTGGTCGACCAGTCTTTAAATTAACCTCACACATATGTTAAGTTTCGAGAGCAGTCCAGATCTCATCCTCGGCCATAGTAACGTGGACAAGCCTAGCACTGGCTATGCGCCCCCCCCCTCCCAAACAACCTTGTGGCTCGTTCTGCTGTGGCCTGAATTTAAAGGGCGAATTTGGAGGATGACATCACACCCCCGAGAGAGAGAGATGAGAGTGCTGTCATAAATAAATATCATTGTGCAAAAATCGAGGGGCGTCTGCACGCCGCTGTGAAAACCTGATGCGGTTACAACCCACCGGGAGTGTGAGACACATGGCAGCCACGAACTCCGTCTACCAACCGCGCAGCAAACGCGCATTGGCACCTTCCACGTGTTGTGATTAAATGGGAGAGGGGGAAAAACATCACGAGCCGGTAAGCCGCGAGCAATTTCGGTCCACGGCGCGGCGTGGGGTGGCAAGGGCTTCTGGTTGCGGGGAACGATATGGGGGTCCCCCGTCTAATTCCTGCCTCCACCCCCACCGCCTCCCCAAACTCATACTTCGTCCCTCCAACCCGCGAGCCCTGGTGCAATTACACCGCCTGCATTCTCGAGAGCTACTCCACCGAGGGACGGGAAAGCGGCTCGCTGAACACCACTTGCGGCAATTGAGACCGAAATCGCTCTGAATGTGGCTGAACTCGGTGAATATTTGAAGCACAATCAGGCGTGAGCCTGGTTAATACTCGGATTGGAGACTGCCTGGGTATACCATGCACTCTATGTATGGGCTGCAAGGTGGCCCAGAAGATGTCGGCGTGGGTTATTCTTCAACTTCTCCGGTTTCCTTCCACGTTGAGCCAAAGAAAACTTATCATGATGGAATTGGCCAAACATCTTGCTGCAACTGGACCTTTCGGAAAATAAATTTTGAGACTCATTGCAGCTTTCCTACATGCATTTTTAGATAATTGGGGGACTTGTGACACCGTGAAAAGGTCAATCGCTGACCCCCATTTCCACACTCTCAGCAGCAGACGTGCATTGCAGAACGTCCGCTTGCCGGAGGTTAAACGTGTTCCCGTTTGCAGCTCCGCTGCATACTAATAGACTGCATCAAAAGCCCTGGATTTCACGAGTTAAAGAAAAAATGTAATTCCATATCCAGACAGCGTCATCTACGAGTGGACGTGGATTGTCGCCCCCTGTACAGTTCATCTCCTGCTGACCCCCGATCGACGTACTGATTCGGAGCTCAATCCAACCACTCGTGCCGTTTTCCCGTTTGTCGGAGATTTTTTTTTGCAGGTGCATTTCAACTGGCCAATTGCGTCTCCTTGTACATTATTCATGCGTGCTTTTCGGCATTTTTCTTGTCCAAATTGAAATTTCCCCACAATCTTCCAATCCACGAAAGCTTTCAGCAGGGCTTGCCGTCTACCTAATGTGGAGAATATTTAGTCGTTGCGTTGCCATAATTTTCTCTTAATCTGCAACTTTCGCTCTCCCTTCCCCCTCTCCCTTCCTGCCTCTTCGCTCTCCCACCTTCCCTCCCTTTACCCCACACTCAATTCTCACCCACTATCTCCGTCGCGCGATCTCTCTCACGCCCTCTCACTGCCAATCTATTCTTCCCTGAGCCTGCTCATATTTAAAAAAATAATAAATCTGTGCTCTCTCTACGATCTCTTCCCCCCCCCCCCCCAACCCAATCTCGCACAGGAAAAAGCATTTGTTTACCTCCGAGACCCCGACACCGGTGAGCTGCTCTGCTGCGACCCACCTCACCGGCTTCCAGACGATGTCTCCGTCAGGTGCGCACGAGGAATTTAAATCGCGCGCTCGCGAGAGGGGCCACTCCTGACGCGATGCGGCCGCGGTCTCTCGTTTAACCTCTCGCCATCGAACCCGGGGCCAGGTTACCGCGGGAGGTTTTAGGGGACCCAGAACCCCCCAAAAATATACTGCTGTATGATGGGTTCAAATACAAGACTGTAGCATTATGATAAAGCCGATAAGGAAATTAATCATGTCTCGCCCTTCCCATATTTGTGTCTCCACGTAAAATAAATGTGCGTTTGGAAACAACCAATTGGCCGCACTGACTTCCGTGAGTGCATCTTATTTGCAGCCTTAGTTCAATGTCAGGAATCTCTGGGCCCGTTTTGACATTCAGTGTCTCATCAGTCGGATCTGCCTGAAACAACGCAGGTGAACTGCCCTAGTTTCTGTAAGAAATGGGTCCTAGTTTGATGCGGAACGATAGAATTCTTGACACGATTCGATCGTTGGTAATGTAAGGCCACGGCTCACACGGTACTATTGGCAGTCACGTGGCGACGATGGGATAGTCTAGTTCATTTCAGCGCCGTTTACAAAAAGAACTGGAAGTGAAATAACGAAGGCAAACAGTAATCGTGTGTTGGGCATTGAGCCGTGGGTGGAGGCGAGGGGAATTGAGGAGGCAATGAGGGGCGTCCTGATTGTACACAAAGCGTTGGTCTATATCACAATGGTAGAAGAGTCGCGCTCACTTGCTCGCTCGCTCGCCTCGTCGCTCGCTTTCCCGCAGGTAACGATGCCAGGAACCCCAATTTTGAGCGTGCGAATCGACGGCAACTTAAAATGTGCTCCATTTTGCCCGATTGTCCCTGTCTGGAATTGCGTCGTGGATGTAGTGCGCGTGAGCCTTATACGTTTGAGCTGTGTGGACCGAGCGTACAATTATTTATAGTAAACACATTTTTTTTACAACTGGCGACAATTGATTTTCTCAAACCATGGCGCAGTGGTGAGGTGCATTTGGGACCCTAAGCCCGTTTTTCTTGGTTCAATTCCTGGCCACGTACTGACACCAGTGGCGAGTAATATCTGAACTAGTTCTGCCCCCCCACCACCATGCCCCCAACTCACCTCTTTCACCAACCCACACTGACCGGCGTGGTCTCACAATACCTCATGACTGACGTGTCTTGCGAAGGCAATTTTTGACCGCAGTGAATTGACTTAGGGCTTTGCATTATTGATGACCAGAAAAAGAAAATGATAATTGAGTTGCTACGTTGTGCAGCTATAAATAAAAGCCATTTACTTTCAACCACCGGAGGAAACGTACCAGCATAGCACAAATTGCTTTGCATGCATGTTGAACTTCTTTCGCACCGTACGTAGCCAACCGCGCTAATCGGCTTTGTCCTCGGCGCCAAACCAGGGGCGGTTTCTTCATTAGGGCAATTGGGCGACGCACCACCAATGTCATTCAACCACAGAGTCACGCTAGCCGTCACTGTGCCTCTGGATATAGTCCAATCAGCGTCATGTCACGTTCTGTGGAGTACCGCCTCTTTTTGGGCGATTTCACTCCGGCTGAGAATCGCCCAGAGTGTTCCCATAGACTTACATTCAAAGATGTTTTTTTTCGAACGGGGGGCGCTGCAATGCATTCTCTATGGCTCCTGGGAGGGCTCGCACTAACGTGCTTACGTCATCCAACGTAAGCACGTTTCATCCAACAAAATTATTTGTCGCCACCTAGTGGAATCTTTAATAAAAGAAACTTGAGTGGATTGTATTCATAGTGAGTATAGAAACAAACAAGATGTATTGTAAGAGTAACTTTATTTTTCATTAATATTAAAGAAGTGAAGTTGCCTTTACATGCTTAAGCTGTTAATTTATTCTTTGCATGGGTGGACCTTATCCTTATAAATCATCCAGACATTTGCCCCCCCTGAGAGATTTTGCAGGAGCCGCCACTGCGCCCAACCTGTCGCGTTTGCAAGGCACTGGTTGTCGTGACGAAGCGGGGTCAAAGAGTGCTCGTGAACCGACAACGTCACGAGGGGCTTTTCATCCAGCAGTGGATCGATGAAGTGAAAACCGTGAATAAAACATCCTGCCAACCAACAGTGGCTTCTACGGCACAAGAGCTGCGAGGGCCTACAAACGGGGATTCCATCGTTGTTATTTCTGCATCGTTCTTATCGTCGCAGGCACTGTCCGGGTGGCTGTGTCACCAACAGCTGTTTCATGAGTCTATCTCTTGCTAACCCGCACTTTAAAGTCAATTGGGATCATGGTCGCGTTCCCGCAGTGATGGCTGATTAAATCGTAGCTGGTCAGTGCAGAACGCCAGAGTTTTTGGTTATGCGTTATGACAAACTTAAAGCAAACATTAAATTTTTCAAACTTAATTTGGAGCTTTCGTGACTGCAGGAATTATTCTTTGGTTCTTTGCTAGTATTTAATTTTATTTTATTTTTCCATCACTGCTCTTGCCGTGGTAATGGTTATTGAGATTAGTTTTTTCTTCTCCTAAAATAATTTAATTCAAAGTTTTTTTTCCATGTATAGCATCATCCTCCACAGCAGGCAGATTACTTGGTTCACTCGTGGTAACCAATGGTCGCGTTTGTATATTCGCAAGTGTTTAGCACAAGATGTGCAAGCCTTGTAGCGGCTTCGGCTGACTGAACTCTGGGTGAAACCAATCAACCTCTGCGCCGTAATTTTTAGAGACCGAAAATGCACGCACTCAACGTTTTGAAGTTTCCCAGATGTAGTAATAGAACCAAAAAAATATATGCAAAAACTTTGCTTATATCCCTCTTCTTGTACCTAATTCGAATTTGCAGCAATTGAAGTCACAGCCGTCTACATTAGATAACGCGTCCTTATAGCAATATCCTACGGTGGAACTTGGAGAGAAGGAGATTATACATTTTTCGATGTAAAGCTTTCGTGACTGCAGGGATTCATCTTCTTGGTTCTTTCAGGTAAAGTCACGTAGAAGGGAAATAATAAAATAATAAAAATAAAACATAATAAAATAATTCTCACGACGTCTCTGCCACAACGCAAGCAGCCATCCTCAGGTGAAGAACAGGTCTGTCGGGAAGACAGCTGAGGACGGCTGCTTGCGTTGTGGCCGAAACGTCGTGAGAATTATTTAATTGTTTTATTTTTATTATTTTATTATTTCCCTTCTACGTGACTTTACCGAAAGAACCAAGAATAGATTATTCATGTTTCTACATTGTCGGGGGTCATCGATTGAAATCCTTTTCGTTGACCTCTGACTGCATCGTCTCGTTCAGGAAATTAGCGACGACACCCTGTTAGTGGCACCCACCCTGTTTCCGTCTTCCGCAACCGAGAAACAACATTCTCCCCACACACACCGTCATTTTAACAGCGAGGGGACATTATTAGTGGCCCCAACCCTCCGTAGCAGTGCACAGCAAGCACATGCCCCCTCCCCCCACCTCCACGCTTAATGCGCATCGACACACAAGGGTCAAGCAACATTCATTGGGCAATCGGCTCGCGAGGCTAAAAAGCACTCATCTCGCTAATGCAGGGGGGGGGGGTGGGGGTGTGTCAGCTGGCCAACGCTAAGCAAGATTGGTCGTCCGCCTGTCTCTGCTCTGCACAGGCTGGGTATTCCGTCTTCAAACGGGAGGCGGAGGGCGGGGAGCTTTTTGAAAGTCGTGGGGCGCTCACGAGCCAATTTGAGTGGGTGGCACCGTGGCACACCCCCCCCCCCCGACCCTGCACACGCGATGTTTGTTAGATGGGAGGGCGGCACGTGCGGGAATATTTTCTCCGCCACTTCCAACAATCCGATGTTCGGAGTGGTCGTCCCCGGCGGTGATCAGGGAGATGGGGTGGAATGACGGAGTTTGCTCGTTGTTGCTTGCCGCACGACGAGAAAAATTTTCTGCACAATGATTCCCCTCCTGCGGAAACAAACGTGGGGCATTTGCCCCATGCTAATTTAGCTTCCTGCATCCCGTGGTTCTGGGACTGGCGCCTAGATTGTATTGCATTGGGAGTGCAGGATACATTATTGATGATGATGATGATGATGTTTATTATCGCCCTGCCCACCTCGTTAAAGGTTCCCCGAACAAATTGACGACACAAACTCTTGTTATACTACGAGTGGATATATAGCAACGAGGTGGAGTGGTGGTGCGTTGGTTAGCACGCTGCGCCGTAAAACCGATGAGCTGAATTTCATTTCCGCTCACCGCTAACTTCGGTGACGAGTGATGTCTGAAAACTGGTCCTGGGTTTTCACCCTCATCCTACCTTACCGACCCACACTCTGACCAGCATGGTAAAGTATGGTCCATGCAACGCTTATGACTGACATAGCATCGGGATAGCCTTCATTCAGCAGTGGATCGACTGCTGTATGAAGGGTTTGTCCAGCTCCTCGAGATGCAGCGGAAGTTAAACGCAAAGTAGCTCCCTACTCGTACTGTACTGTGCAAGGAATAAATCTAATTTATTTTGACAAAAAATGTTAACAAAATAGCAAATGGATTTTTTAAATGACATTTCATTGTTATTTGTGTTGGCGCAGAAAGTAATAAACCACCATCAAGCAAGTTAGAGTTTACTGTTTCAATATTCCAACCCTGAATATTTGTAAAATTGCTTTCGTATTTCCAGACTCAAAGAGCAGAAACTGATTGGCTCTTAAAAGTAATGACATTCCATTGTGGCTTTCAATATTAAACATCTCTATATAATCTAAAATAGAGGGCTTTCATGGCAAAGCTAAACGGAGCATTTTTTATTTCACAGAATCACATATGGACACGATTGAGAGGGAATAGTATTTGTTTGTGTCATGTCATTGTGAATCAAATCAAGTCAAAAGCACATTTGGTATTTGTGCCGTTCTTATAGCGGCAAGTTTCTGTGTAGTCTGCAGTAAGATGCACCGAAGGGGCGATGTTTTTTCTTTATTTCCCAATGAAATAATTTGTGGACAAATTTTTTTTAAATTGAAGATATTTTTCGG